ACTTATATAGTTCCACCAAGTCAAATTTTGAACACAGGACTTTTGTAAAAGATGTATTTTGATATTAAGGTATTGCTGCTTTCATTCAGTAAATATTCTGAATACTCCCACCTCTGAATCAAGCAATGCCTATTTACAACCCTTTTACCCTTTTACAGGGTTCTTGTTTTAAATCGAGTTAGCTGGACACATAAACAGTCAGTGCAGCTTATTCAACCAGCTCAGGCGCTAACATTAGCTTAATTAGCTAAGTCGCTAGCTACTTGTGCAGCTGAGCCAGTGACATCATTTCAGGCAGAACAATCAATGGATAGAAATGAGGAGCTGCTTTAGTCTGCCTCTGTCTGAAATCAAGGACACAGAAAGGTTGTTTCAGAAATGACTTTTAAATGAGTTTTAAATCTTCCACTGTTATCAGTAAACTCTATGTTATAAATGTGCTGCACTAGAATAGACAGCCTGACAGGCATAGCAACAGTAACTGACAGCAACAATATGAGTGTAAAGAGTCCGTTTATATCTGTGTATGTCTCGGATGATACACTCAGCCCTCCGCCCCACCATCCCGCTGCTTGTTGTCCAGACGGGGACGGGTGATCTCAGTTCGGAGGGAGCGGGGGTGTGTCTCTCTCTCTGTAGCGTGGGATTCTGGTCTGAAGCCAAATACATCATGAGCTCTCTCAGCGTCTCATCTGCTTTTTATTTGCACGCTACTACTCTTGCTATTTTGTTTATTGCTTTAAACTGAGGAGGGCGTGGTGCTGTTGGAGAGGAGTGGTAGATTGTCTGTCTGGGTAAAGAGAGGGGGAAGGGGTGAAGCCTGGGAAAGAAGTGCAGAAAACCAGAAACATTTCCCCATGCTTATGACACATCAGACACAGATCTGCAGGTGGAGAATGGGTGCATGGGAGGAGAATATGAGCTGAAACGATTAGATCAGTGATCTCAGACCACGTGTAATGGAGGGACGAGGGCATTGCAGCGCCAGCTGTGTTAACTAATTAGCACACTTTCACTCAGTGAGGAGGAAATGGGCTGCTGTGTGGAGTTGGGTTGGTGTACAAACCTCCAGGGCCTCTGTGGGAGGTGGTTGTAGACCACTTACCCAGCCTCAGCCTCAAGGTGTTTTTTTTTTTAGTCAATTTGCATTTACTTGCAAGAAGGGACTTGTCGCAAAGTTTTTAGTGTAAAAATACAAAATGTACTTATAAAAAACTGCCGGTCAAAAGCTTTATTTTCTTGTCAACCCTCAAAAAGTGGATCACTCCACCTGCAACCCTCCATATATATTGAAAGAATAGCAAAGAACAGCACTGAAGGTTTTTCTTGATGGAAAAAAAGTACCTGCCTTTTTTCTAACCGTTACCAACAATAACAGATGGTTCTGTGCAACAAACCACCTGTCAGCAGTCAGGATTTAAGCCCATCAGTAAATTGTTTAAAACATCACAGATAAATAGTTTCATTATATATTTATAGTATGCACTTTAAATATGGTTGTTGTTGTTGGGGACTAGTTTCAGGTGCAGATTAATACACATTTGGTGCACTGAGTATGTAGAACACCAGGATGGTGTATTGACTTGAAATAAACTACAGTCGAGCACAAGGTGTTGGCACAGAGTAAATAGCTACATCAGGCTTTAGCTACACACATAGTGCGTGTCATTGGATCAGTTCATTGCTGGTTTTTGTTTTTTTATTGGATTTGTTGACAGTAAGATAAATATATCAGCAAACTTTTCCTGTCCTTTTTAAAAAATGCTGTAATAAACATTAATTAACAATGGATCAAATAACTATTTGTAATATGAAAGGGGTCAGTTGCAGTAACTAACCCACTGATAATTATATAATTATTTCCCCTCAGTGTTCTCTTAAAGCCACTGCACGCTACCTGACCAGACAGAGAGAGTCAGCGACTAGCGAGTGAACGTAGTGGCATTAAGCAGATTAAGAGAAGCAGAGCTAAAACAAGAGTGAACATTGGACTTACATTCATCAGGTGGACAGAAACATGACTCTAAATGAATACACATTTTCAACTTAATAAGGTGATAATACGTCACGGTTCGCTCTGCTTCCCTCAAGTGCTCAAAGAATCAAAAAATGCAGGATTAACATTGTAGTAAGTGTGAGCACATCCTAATGTTACAGAGAACAGCTGTTGCCGGCGCTTACATATCCAGATTTCCCACAGGGAATGTGTTAAAGTAGTGGTAGTGACAATGATTCAGAGGGGAGGGACTGCAGTGGAACAAGCCAGCCTAATTAGATTCAGTTCTGTGCAAACCTTGGTACTGCTTTTTATTGGCCACTTTTGTTTAATATGCAACAAAAATAAAATATGTAACCACTGGAGCATAAACATTATATATTGCAGCTGCTTGGGATTATGCTGCTCTGATTATGAAGCGCTCTCTGAACTGGAGATGTGTAACTGCAAAATAAAGTGCAGCGACATGGTGACGTCCCCTGAGATCCCTGACTGTGTGGTTCACAAGAGACTTGTTCAGACCCCATTACAGACAAAAAAGTCTATAACAGAACAGAACACATAAGTGATGTGAAAAGAGAATGGATGAGCTATCCAGATTTGAACATGTGAAGGCTAGAGGCTGAAAAAATCTATCTGCACAGTGCTGAAGAATAAACTGCCAGCCTCTAAATGTCTTTGCAGTAATGAGGAAGCCTAATTTTGATGTGGCTGTCCTAGAAGGTGCAGATTGCACCAGAACAAACTGGTTGTGTTATAATGACATGACAATGACAACTATGCAAAAGATGCCACATGTGTCACAGTTACTTGTAGTATGGAGTAAGTAGAGTATTGCATTGTAAACCCGGGCTGTGTCTCAGTGCTTTGTGGTGGGCCGACCAAACAACATTGCCCTCCCTGGTGCCGTACTACTGGTTTTATATAAGCATTCAATCGAAAACAAAAATTCAGTTTTTCTGAATTAATGACTTATTCTATCTTATATTATATTATTAGTTAGAGATCATTTTTCATTAATATATATATATATATATATATATATATATATATGTTTTTTTCTGAATTAACCTGAGGTTGAAGGTGACACAGAGCACTGCATAAGCTGGGTTAGGCTCAAGGGGTCTGAGAGCCGGGTCTGAGAGCCGGCCCTGGGCATGGAGAGCATGCTTGTAGTATCTCGTTAATTCAGAAAAACAGTCATCAATAGTGAAAAATCATTTCATAATTATGAGATAATAAGTCTTTAATTTAGAAAAAAACGGAGCAGAATGTTTTTTTCGAGTGTAAGAAATACACTCGTACAATTTCAGCCCCCCAATCCCCAATGATGTTGGTAGATTGACAGCCAGTTGCATGTTTTGCCCCAAAGATCAAACCAAAAATATAACGCAGTGATAGATCGCTTCTTGTAACCCTTGGGAGAGTGAGTAAAACATTTTTGTAAGGCTAAATTTGACCTACGTTTGTTCGCTGCTTTGCTTTGGGCTGCTCTGGCCTAGATTCCTCTGAAGTCTCTCTGGTATGTGAATAGATAAATATATTCAGCTGTTAACTGAGGATGATAGTTGGATCTCACAGTCTGTACCACAGTCACCCTTTCTCAGTGAACATCTAGCCAGCTTAAGGAACAGATTGACTGCCAGTGTGTGTGTGTGTTCCCAAACCTCTGCAAGTGTGTTATTTGTGGGTGATAATCGACGATGTCCAGTGAGTATTACACGTATTGTTTTCATTTGGAAGCTGGAAAAATTAAACTCCAATTTTTCTTTGTTTGCGGACCAGACCCCAGATCTGCCCCTCGTGCTCGGCTCACATAATTCTCTGCCAAATCCAGGCGCCCCACTGAGTTTATTTTTAGCTTAGACCATGTTGTTGGATAGTATAGCTTTAAGTGTTTTGCGGCTCAACAGCCATTTTTCATTCTCCAAACTTCAGTTTCTTAATCCCTAAATCCCATTAGTGTCTCTCTGTCTTTGTGTGTGTGTCCCCAGAGTGTGATCCAGCTGCAGTGTTTGTGGTTCTCTAGTGTGCTGTTTATGTAGTTTCCATTACCTGCCAAGGTACAGTGCATACTTTCTGCACACATTACCTCATGCAGAGGACTTTTTCTCTTTGTGTTTAGTCTCTATCTCCACAGTAGGGTTCACCACATGGCTTTAATGGACAAATTGCCTTTGAAGTTTCCACATTTTGGGAAATACACTTGGTCACTTTCTTGTTGAGAGTTAGATGAGAAGATCAATATCACACAAACATGTTTATTAGTGAGCTTAGAGAGCCAGTGTGTGTGCTAAACTAAGCTAACCAGCTGCTGATTCCAGCTTTGTTACAGATATAGATTTTGTCTCAGCATCTGTTTCATAAAATGTCCAACCTAATAAACTTGAGAATTTGTAACTGTTTTGCTTTTCCTGTGTATGTTTAACAGATTATCTGTAGAGTATATGATCATTCATGAACATTAACCATAGTGGTGTAATATCAGAAAATGGTTGTTGAATCTCAACTAATAAGCTGTTGAAATGTTACAAATACTCTCTAAACTCTCTGTATATCTATCCACATAAAGTGTTACCTAAGTTGATCAAAGTTTTGTTTTGAGTGTTGCAGTTTGTTTCAGAAGAATCAGTGAAGTCTGCTACAGTCAGCTCAGCAACCTATAGAGTAGTGCGTAGTGTTGTGGGTTCTGCACAGTGAATAAATTACAGCCACCAAGATGCAAACATGGAAAGAGAAACATTACCATGCTGTCACTTTGAAGTGTGAAGTTGCAGGTTTTATGTGATTAGTGGAGGTATATTGTTGCAGAATGTGTGATATAATTATTATGTACATCTTGAGAGTGCAGTACAATATTGCAATATTATGAAAATGTAAGATGCTCTTGGTATTTATGGGTAAATAAGTGCAAAAAAAAATCATTTTTACATAAATAAAATATTGGCTCTATATTGGCCCTAAAAGGCGTTTAGGTTTTAACATTTGATGTGTCCATCTCCAGTTTGAAGGCGGTGCTGTCGGCCCCTCTGTCCAGTGGGGCGTTGGATCTGTCCGGTATCCCTCTAACAGCTCGGGACATGGAGCGGGTGTGTGCACACCTACAGCGCCACGCGTGCACTGTGGTCAGCTTGGAGCTGGGCTTTACCGAGCTGACGGACGAGGCGTTCCTCCTGCTGCTGCCCACGCTGGCCTCCCTGCCGCACCTGGAGACCCTGGCACTGAATGGAAACAGGCTGACCAGAACTGTTCTGAAGGAGCTGACTGACGCCCTGAAGGTCAGAAAATCCCTTATCCTTTAGAATATCTTCATATATTTGTCCAATATAATGACAATATAGTATAGTATTACTGTTAGTATCATTCCTGTAAATGAGATCGCTTGTTTTCTGTTGCAGAGAATGTTGTCTCCCTCATCCTTACTGAAGGACAACCATTATTTTCCATCAGTATTTGACTCAGTCCACAATGTGTCTTTGGCATAAACTACACAGATGTTGGTGGTCACAAAATAACAATTGGGCAAAAAAGAAATCCCCCAGGTAGAGCTGAGGTTGGACCCACACTCTCATCCCAAATATACTTCTCTTTAAGCCTGAGTGTCTTATTTATCAATCAGTATTTTTATAGTAGAAAAACTTCAGACATAGTGTTATCCCTTTTCGACTAAATAATTCTAGCTACTAAGAAGTCACAGGCACTAAACTCAGGAACTAAGCTAGCAACTATTTGCCACACCTGAAGAACCAGGAAAATGACACACTTTAGTCATTAGTCTGATTAAAAATGATGTCAATGTTTGAGACAAAATTTTCACACTCAAGGAAACAAGCAACACGTGTCGTGATGCCGCTCTTTATATTTACTGCTGTGTGACTCCATGAATGGATGGGTGTAAAGTAGAGAGGTACTGCACAGTCAGATCATGGATTTTTTGGCACGTGGAACTACAGATCCTGCTAGTTTAATTCCTGTTAGAGGAACTGAATTTAGTTGCTGGTCCATTTGGTCAAAAGCAATTCAAGTTTCTTACATTTTTTCCTTGGTTCCCTAGGAAAGTTCCTGCAGTGGAAACGCCCTAAAAGTGCACAATTCTAAAAACTTTTCTGTATTTGGAACCAACTGGTGGTAACCAAGAATGGCATTGTAGCAGTCAACAATGCTAGCCATATTTTTTCCTGGTGCAGTATGCAACTTATACAAGTATGATCCACCAGTGCACATCCACTGAGAATTGATCTTACAGTGAAGTAGGAGACATC